TTCCTCCTCCTCTCCTCCTCCTCCTCCTCCTCCTCCTCCTCCTCCTCCTCCTCCTCACAAGCATTCTCTGCGAGCCCATTGTCTTATGATTCGCAGTGACGTCCATGCCTGGCTCCTCCCCACCCCCCCGTGGTCCGTCACGTCACGATTCGCACCGGCGCCGTCTGGGAAGTAACCAATTTCAAGCATCCCCAGACGGCGCCAGCGCGAATCGTGACGCGGCGGGCCCCAGCCCCCCCCCCTCCCACTCCCTGGTCACGCCCGTCATCGCAAGGGGATGAAGACAAAGTTTCCACACCCCTCTTGTTTCCCTCCGCGCGCGAACGGGTAGCGCGCAGTAGGAGGGGGAGGAGAGTAGAGGAGTAGGAGGAGGAGGAGGAGGAGGAGGAGGACCCGTGTAAACCCAAGACGCATCAACGATTTTGCAATAAACCCTCCCTCCAAGTTGCCTCTTCATAGGCACCTACAACAATATAGATCATCATTGCGAAAAGCGCTCCGATGAAGACAACCGTCTGATAATCCTTAATCGTGCCAAAACACCGTTCATGGGATTGAAACGCCACGAATCAACGTAGCTGATGCGTCCTGACATTCCTCAATCACGCCGGAAAACCATTCCTTGGGCTTCGACACCGCGAATAAACGTGACTGCTGCATCCTGAAATTCTTAATTTGTGACAGACCACCATCCCTGTGAATTCAACCATACGAACCCAGGAAACCGTTGCAGTATTTGAAAACGAATGTGGGCGGCGTTTGGGCGAGAGCCACATTTTGAAAACAACCTCCCTCCAACCATGGAGCTGTTGCATATTTCAACCACCAGCATCATGAATATTGTTGGAAGTCTCTGGCGAAACGCCCACCCCGCCCTACCAGCACGTCTGGGGATGCGACAGGGAGGAGTTGCTCAGAAGGAACAGGGATTGAGGGGGGAGAAGGAACGAGGAAGGAGGAAGGAGGAAAAGGAGGAGGAGGAGGAGAATAGGTTCGCAAGTTTGCAAAAGCTTCCCAGGATTCCCAAGCATTTCCCTCCGAATTCATATGCTTGTGAGGGTTCCGGCGAATCTCTGGTAGAGGCGAGGAGGAGCAGCAGGAGCAGCAGCAGGAGCAGCAGCAGGAAGAGGTTGAGGGGCGAAAGGAGGATGACGAGCGAGAGGGGGGACACAAACACACCATGCAGATGTTGATGATCCACCACCGTGCCTCTGGGCACGGAGTGGCCGTGTCCTCAAGTCCTCCGCCCAAGCCCTGGAGCCTCAATCCTCAGTCCTGGGAAATCCGGACGGGGCTTGACCCCAAATTCCGAGATCTCTTTTTGGGTCACCCAAAAGGGGGTCCAGCTGAAAGGGGGTGGTGCAATAGATTTGGGACAACTGTTTTGCAAATGTACTGCGCTGGAGAATTGTATTGCATTGTATTGCATGTAATTTATTGCACGCGAAAACCCAGCAATATCTTTGCGCCCCAGAATGTATTGCACGTCCCAGATGCGTCGCAACCCCACAAATCTATTGCACCAAATCTATTGCACCACCCCCCCGTCGCTGGAGCCCCTTTTGGGTCGACCCGACTCTTGGAGCCTCCCCGCGTGACATGTCCGGGCCCCAGAGGGCCCCAGAGGCCGGGCCAAGAGGGCCCCGACCGGCCTCCGAGCCGGTACCAAAAAGGGCCCCGAGGCGCCCAGAGATCGGCCCAAGGAACCCAAGATGGCCTCATTACTTGCGGCCCAAGAAGCCTCCAAGACGCCCCAAGGGGGCCTCCAGGAGGCCTCCCAACAGGGCCCCAAGAGACAAAAATCACTGCTTTGCCTAAGGTTTTGGACAGATTTTGGCGTTCTCGCCTTTGGGGCTTTCCGACGCTCCAAGAAGACGGCCCAGGAGGACCCCAAGACCACCCCAAAACGGCCCAAGAGGTTTCCAAGAAGGGCCCAGGACGTCCTAATAGTGCCCCAAAACGGCCCAAGAGGCGCCGAAGACAGCCCAAGAAGGCCACAAAACGGCACCACAAGCGGCCCAAGAGAGGGAACACGAACCGAAAATCCGAGCCGTCTGCCCCATGAGGCCCCCAGGAGGCCCCCAAATGTCCCCAAGAGGCCCAAAAGAGATCCCAAGAAGCCCCGAAACGGCCAAGCGAAGGCCTCCAAACTCCCTCCAAGAGGCTCCCGAGAGGCCTCCCACGAGAGCCCAACAAACATCCAATAGGCTCCATACCCACAACCCAGGCACGGTGGCGGGATGGGCACGAGGCCATTCGAAATGTCCGTGTTTGGGAAGCAATGGTGGCCTCGGGGGTCTCCTCGACACTGCCCTGCGCGACGATGGGTCTCGCCGCACACCTTTGAGCTGGATGGGTGGCGCTTCCCCTTTGATGCGGGGCCATTACCACTTGCGCCACCACCCGCTCACGTTCACTCCTAGAGTGAACACACAGGGAAAGAAAAAGCCAAATGAGTTAGGCGATATGGAGAGAATCAATCTCACCCGCACGGACCTGATCGCCAGTCTTGAAAGGCTGACGGAGCAGGTGCCACTTCTTATTGAGACTGCACCGTGCAGGCGCGCGCGCGAGGTTCGCCAACACGCGCGCACCGTGGGAGGAAGCTGCAGGGGGCCCATTGCACTGCTCAGACAGCTTGGCAGAGACTTTGCGACCTCCGAGCCCACAGACAGCACACACAACGCACCAGGTGCCCTCCTGAAGCTGAAAGGGATGCACGAGATGCCTGCGCCCATCTGCTGCAACAACACGCGCGTGCGCAGCATCGGCACGCAGGAGGGGGCGAGGGGTGGCGACTGGCGGGGGCGGTTCAACCACGAGCATGGGCTGACAGGAAGACTGACAAGACCGCTGCTGTTCAGGCTTAACATGCCCACAATCAAAATCGGCGAAACTCGCCCCTACTTGGGCCACCCATCTGGCGTAGCGAGCCAACACCTTGGCCTTGGCAGTGACCTGCTCACGCAAACTCTGATCAATATGAACGCGCGAAGCAGACCACTGGGCCCACGAGTCGGCCTCGTCATTACCAGCCTTTTCAAACGCACTGCTGAGACCGAGCTGCACACGTGCATGCGTGCAATGCCCCTTCACCTTGACAAGACGAATCTGAGAGGGACCACCCCAGTCATGAATCTTCGTCCACACCGCGCGCCACAGCTCAGACCAAGCACCGCGGGAGCCACAACAATGTCGCTCTCCACGCTTGTGCACACCGTCATGCACGAAGGCTGAGTCCGTGTACAATATGGATCCTGGTGACGCGTGCTGCAGCCCGCGATAAAACGCAAAAAGCTCAGCATAGTCGATGTCCTGGCACAACTCGTGCAACGTGCCACACGCACACAGCAGAGAGCACACGAAAAGTGTCGGGACACAAAGCGACGGCGGCCCACCCCACCGCCTGCGCGTGGGGGGGAGCTTCTGGTCGATCCACGACCCGTCGAGGAACACATGTCCTGATAGGGCCTCGGGCCCTCCTGCGAACCACCTATCTGGGACGGGACGAGTGGCAGGGAGGGGAGCAAGCGGCAGCAGCAGCCTCTCAGCAAAGAGCAGGGGGAGAGGCTCAGTGGCAGCTCGCACGAGGGTGGTGAGAAAGGACGGAATACGAACTCCTTCCATGATCTCCTCATGCAAGCCGCACGCGGCATGCCTGTGCAGCAGGGTTCCTGGGGCTGACCCGCAACCTAGACAGAAGACGTTGGTCGAGAGCCCAGCCTCCCATTGACGATGCTGCGGCCACTGGCCTCCTGAAATCACACTCTTTAGATACCCGCGCTCTACAAGCAAGAGGGGACGAAGGCTTCTGAGCGGAGTAAGGTCGCACCCATTTTGCAGCTCAGGCACGTCCAATCTATTTGCGACCTTACCCCAAAGCCAAACATCGACCACCCTCTGGAACCAGAGTACAAACGTCCTGGGGCCGACGCCCCTGACCAAGATGCGCCCCAAGACCGAGTGAGCGAAAACAAAACCGTCGACCTGGAGCCCCAGACGGACGGCAGTGGCCGCGCAGGCCGTGAAAGGACCCTTGATGCCAGCCCAGGGGTTCCCGTGGTCGGAGAAGCGATGGACAGCATCCTTTACTCCTTGCTCGAGCATGCGCACAGGAAGCAATCCATCCCAGACGGCCACCGCAAACATCTGCAGGGGCTCAATAGTTGCACGCAGGGTCGCATCGGGGTGCTTCAGACATCATAAGAAGCAACGTGAGACTGCGACCCGACAGTTTTGCGACCTGCACATGTGCCTGCATAGCTCTGGCGAGGCGCAACTCCGTGCAATTCGTGCCGTACACAGCGCCCCCATATTTACAGGAGGCCAGGGGGGCAGCTTGCACACTATTGTGCAGCCAGCTCTTTTTAACATGCGGTCCGAGCGAGA